AACTATTGAAATTTATTATTATTATAATAATAAAATTTTTCTTTTATTATAGAGTAGGATTTACGTGTATACAAATTTTACATATCATATTTATATAAAATTTTGACTATTCATTTTTTTATTTTTAATAATTGAGATTTATTCATGTTTATTAAAAATAATTATTCTTTTCATTTTAAGAGTTTGGATAAATCTCAACCATCAAAAATAAAAAAATAAATAATTAAAATTTTATGCAAGTGTGGTTTGTAAAACTTATATATAAGCGGATTCTTCCTCTTTATTATAAATTTACATTTTTAAATAAGAATTATATATTTTGTAATCTAGATCATATTAGATCATAAAATAAGGATATAATTGAATGAGAGAAGACCTATATCAAGTGTCTATCCCTTATTCAACAATCATTATAGAATAATGATAAGAAAGTTGTAAAAGGGGGACAAATTTGCAAGACGAATTTAAGGTGGCAGGTGTCTCACCTTCTTTCCACAACTCCTCATGTTTTTGCAATTTTTTTCTTGTTTTGGTTCATCTTAATCCAAATTCTTTCTTCCAAATCTACATCCTTTGTCTTCCAAATCTTCATCCCCTGCAAGGATTAACCGTAAATTTAGAATTTCTACCAGTTGGGGTTCAATTTTACCAACAGTTAGGGTTTAATTTTCCTTGTTCTTCTTCTCTTTTTTTTTTCTTTTTTGAAATTTTAAAACTATGGCTATGGATTTTGATTGCTAGGATAGAGTTGAACCCGGTCCTTGAGTTCAACGAAGTTCACTGGAGGAGGAGCTTGGCAAAAAATGGGGAGATGAGAGAGAAAGATAGGAGATTTTGAAATTAAAATAAAAAAAAAAAACCAAAAAGGAGGTAGAAGATAAACAAAAAAACATAATTTAAATTTTTTTAAATTAATATACTAACAACATGGCTTGTCACATCATTGGTCTCAAAAATTCCGTCCCCTTTATTTATCATTTGTGTTATTGTTAATCATTATATTATGTAATTTGATATAGTTTGAATTGCATAATAATTTCTTTGTTTAGATATTGTAAAAGTAATTTTGTCTACATCGCACCCAAACGAACCCACGAACCGTAATTAAGCTGTGATTTCCAAAATTGATAT